CAGCGCAGGTGGATGGAGTACCTAGAGGACTATGACTTCACTTTGCATTACCATCCCGGTAAGGCAAATGTGGTGGCCGATGCACTGAGTCGAAAGTCACGGGGAGTTTTGGCCAGTATAGCTTCCCAGGAGTGGCTGATGCTTGAGACTGTTGGACAGTTCAGGCTACACTACAGAGGTCAGACTCGTGGCACTTTGGGGAGTCTAGCGGCTACGCCTTCCCTACTAAGCAGAGTGATCGAGTCCCAGGGCCAGGATACAGAGATATTGTCTATTAGGGATCGCGTACAGTCGGGTACAGGTGACGAGGGCTGGGCCGTTCACGCGGATGGTAGTCTTCGGTTCAGGGGAAGGGTTGTGGTTCCCCAATCTGCAGATCTGAGAGAGGAGATCCTTAGGGAGTTTCATTGCTCCCGTTTTGCTGTGCATCCAGGTAGTACAAAGATGTACCATGATCTTCGCCGCCAATACTATTGGAATGGGATGAAGAAACACGTTGGAGATTTTGTTAGTCGATGTCTCACATGTCAGCAGGTCAAGGCTGAACATCAGAGACCAGCAGGGTTGCTCCAACCTTTGGAGGTGGCTGAGTGGAAGTGGGAGCACGTCACGATGGATTTTGTGACTCACTTGCCACGGACATCGCGAGGGCATGACGCAGTATGGGTGATAGTGGATCGGCTTACAAAGTCGGCACACTTTTTGGCAGTACGAATGACCTTCACACTGGAGGATTTTTGTAGACTGTACATACGGGAGATAGTTCGATTACATGGGGTGCCCGTATCTATAGTATCCGATCGGGACCCTAGGTTTACGACCATTTTTGGGAGAGTTTTCAGCAGGCCATGGGAACACAGTTGATGATGAGTACCGCTTTTCATCCCCAGAGGGACGGTCAGTCAGAGAGGACTATCCAGACCTTAGAAGACATGCTACGGGCATGCATCCTTGATTTCAAGGGTGGCTGGGAGGAGCATTTACCATTAGTAGAGTTCGCCTACAACAACAGTTATCAGGCGAGTATACAGATGGCACCTTATGAGGCACTTTATGGGAGGCCGTGTCGTTCTCCGATTTGCTGGACCGAGGTTGGAGAGAGACCCTCCACGGGTCCGAATTTGATTAGAGACACTTCAGAGAAGGTGGACTTGATACGGAAACGTCTTATCACGGCTCAGAGCCGGCAGAAGAGTTACGCTGACAGACGGCGACGACCTCTGGAGTTCGAGGTTGGAGATCATGTCTTCTTAAAGGTGATGCCTAAGAGGGGAGTGGTCAGGTTCGGAAAGCGGGGAAAGCTGTTGCCGAGGTATATCGGGCCCTTCGAAATACTTGAGAGGGTTGGTACAGTTGCCTATCAGTTGGCATTACCGCCTAGTCTATCTGGTGTTCACGCGGTGTTCCATGTTTCTATGCTCCGAAAGTACACTCCAGATCCTACACACGTGGTGGATTGGGGTGAGCTAGTGGTTGATGCAGATGGAACCTTTGAGGAGGGACCAGTGCGTATCATGGACAGCCGAGAACAGGTTTTGCGGGGCAAGACTGTGAGGCTGGTAAAGGTGTTGTGGCAGCACCGTGGGATGGAGGAGGAGACATGGGAACGTGAGGACACTATCCGAGCTACCTATCCATTTTTGTTCGAGAATGGAGGTACATCTCTTACAGTCATAGAGTATTTAATGATTTTTTTTGCATATGCATGTCGTTATATATGCATGTGGGTATAATTTCGGGGACGAAATTCCCTTAAGGGGGAGAGAATGTAAAACCCGATAAAAAAAAATATATTATTAATCCTAATAAAAATAAAAGGGTAAAATAATAATTAATTGTTAAATTATGGGTCAAAAACGTAAATTTAAAAAAAATAATATATATATATATATATATATATATATATATATATTATATATATATATATATATATTATATATATATATATATATATATATATATATATATATATATATAAGTGGAAGACTTTGTCTTCCACTTTTTGGGTGTTCTACGGCCGGCGAGAAAGAGAGAGTGAGAAAAAAAAAAAAGAGTTTTTATTTTTTTCTCTTTTCTTCCTTCTCAGATCTAGGAAAATTTAACCGTTTAATTGCTTCGGGTCAAGAACTAAAGTTGCTCTACTCAGCGAGAGCTACGCAACCACACCAAAGATCGTATTTTTCTTTGAAGGTATATCAAAGCCGATAATTTAGACCTAAAACTTAGGAAGCTAAATTTGGGCTTCCTTGGTGTTCTTGTAAGTGGTCTCACGCTACGAGAGATAGGGTTTCCCCTATTTAGATTTAATTTCAACTTAAAATATGACATATGGAATGAGTAGATTATGAGTGTATATCACATGTTAGGTCTTGACTAGTGGGTCAAATATAGAATTTATAATTAATCTTGTGATTAATAAAATTCTATTGTGATTAACTTGGTATAAGTTAATGTTAGTAGTTTAAAGCATGTTAATTGTATGTTAGCATTACTTTATATTTTAATGGAAGATCAAGTTTAATAAATTATTAACTTGTTATATGATTATTTTGGTGGACTTGTGCTTATGTTAAACATGTTATCATGTTGCAAGTCATAACATGCTTGAGATCGTGTTAAAATATCATTATATTGTATTCATTATGTAATAGACATTGTATTTCATTATGCATGAGTTGCACTACATTCATGGGCATTGACATGGGTGAGAGTGTATGCATGGTATGAAATCAATCACCACGTAGGTGGTTGAACGTGGACTCGGAAAAGTCGCACCAAGGTTCGGTTGAGTCGCACGAGAAATTAAATGGATAAATGTGTTGGGGACAGCACGAAGGGCTAGATTCTCCCTCGGGTGCAAGACCCGCTTACTTGGTTTATACACTTTCCGGCGGTGAAATTCCAAAAAAGTGTAACGGCGGAAACGGAGCCGCAGGTGGGATGTCCTGAAGATCCGTTGATGGTTGGTGTCCCATTGGTGTAATACCATAAATCATCTCCCCACAAAGACACAAGAAAATGAATTAATTAGCATTGAGTGTACATAACACCAATGATGGGGGCTTGGAATGCTCGGATACATACGCATGACATTGCATGTGTTATGGGAGCTCAGGATGGGGCTCGGGGTTGGTATTGCTTGCGTGAGTCTCATCTCATGGCATGACATGATCTATAACATTCAATCATAATAGACATATTTAAATGAATGTATCAAATGATCGTTGCATGTGACATTCCATATTCATTTAGGTTGAGAGGTATTCTCTATAGGAGTTACCCTATTGAGCGTTAGCTCACCCTTTATGGGAACATTTTTTAGGTATCGCACAGGCTTCCACCGAAGGCGAGGCCATGGGCCCGCTTTGACAACAGAGCTGGTCTGTGGCTTTTAATTTGACATTGTAGTCCCTTGTTTATACTTACTTTTGGCCTTGTATAATTTTTGTAACAAACATTGTTTATATTTACAAAGGCATGTATATGAGACTCTTTTGGGACATTTATTCTTTTACGAATAAATGTATGTACTGATAATGATTATGGTAGTATTCGAGACTATATAATTGTGAATGGATAGATAGACCCGGTGTGGTCAATGTTGTACAGGTTGCGTTTTGAGTAGAGCTCCTTGTACAAAGGAGACTCTGTCCAAATTTTGTTAAGTTATGGATCCCAAGAAATGGGGCATAACGGTGTGATATCAAATTACAAGATATCCACCAGTATTACACAGATCGATAAATAACCAATCAGATAATTACAGACACCCGGACTTTGGGGTGTCACACAATCAGCACTTTGCACATCTATCATTTTGTGAAACAATAAAATGCCATGTCATAGACATCACTAAACAGGTCCTAGGCCTGCAGGCAATCCGCATTCGTCTAGTATTAGTAAGAGGTAACGATTCGAAACAAAGACACAAGAAGCAGCTTCAAACTAGAGTTTCAATTACTAGAAACAGAAGGGGCACTGAGAGGCATCACAGGGGACAAAGGAGAACATAGATTGAGAAAGGTAAAGAAAAAAAAAGGCAGAAGAAATTACACATTGTTACAAACTCTTCATGCAGGATATATGCTGATTGGAGTCCTTATCCCATATCTCAAGAATCTCACACACAACAGAGTAAGCATCAAAACCGAATTTTTCATTCATTATAGAGAAACAAAGGAGAGATTAACCATTTACAAATTTGGTTTCAGTGTTGCATACCATGGAAGATATGTCAATTTAACATAGATGGTGCATATATCCCCATGCTTTTATCCGAACTAATATCACTACAAGGGGCTGCTAAAACTGCAGCATTATTCAGCCTTAATAGTCAGCTATATAATGATTTTTGAAGCTACCTGTGAGTCTTTCTTGAAATTTTTTTTTTGGACAGATAAGATACATATGGTTCATACAAATGAAATAACCACACAAAATAAACGCTTACAAAACTATAATTTCTGGTGTATTGATCAAAATGTATTTTACAAAATAGTAAAAAAGAAAAAAACAGATGCAGAAAACGAAGGAGAACAATACACAAAAGTAGAGAAGAAATGGGCTCAAAAACTTGACACAGAAACTGATCCACATATTTTCCTTTTCTTTCTGTCAAAATGATGATGGCTTCTACATAGAGCTAACTTTGCTAATCATACACAGAATCCTGATCAAGTCCAATAATAATCTTCAGTTTGCTGACAACTAGAACACACTGCCACATAAATGATGATAACCGCAAGAGTTCTCCACCTCAAAATGGTTGATGAGTAGAATCTGGACGAAACATGATAATTTACACTTCATATCACCTAGCAATCTTGGGAAACATACCGAGCTAGACGTGTGGGTGGCCAAAATTGAAGTTGATTTCATATTGAAGCAAGCAACTGTACATTTTCCATTATGGCCAATCTAGCTAGAAACCAGCTATTCTGTGCATGCAATTGTGTAAGAGGTGAGAAAGAACCAGTTATCTTTTTCCGAATCTCAAGCACCTATTGTTTTTGGAGTCCGTTATACTTGGTGTTGATGGAGGTGGCTTGCTTCGTTTTGTAAAGGAGAGTTTCTCCATTGCATTTACAAACTTCTGCATGTGCTTAATATACTCTGGAAAAGTTTCAAGGTTACAATGTCCTCCACCCTGAACCCATAATGGATCATATTTCTCCTTGGAAAGTTCCCACAACCGCTTACCATGGGACCAGTCAACAATGTCATCATTTGTTCCCTGTGGATGATCACCAACAGAAGTACATGGATACCAAAAGCAGGTACAGGTTAGAACGAGCGAAACAAGATGGAGGATGCACACAAAACAAGGTAATATTGGAAGAAACACAACAACAGCATACTTTGTTTAAAAATAATCCTTATTATGCCCAATTAAGGAAAACTATTCAATTTATTTACAGATCCATTAATCTCATGCTACATTTACATGCAAACTAAAAACAAAATGAGAACAGTTGTATTCATATAGAATTTATTTTTGAATTCAGAACAATTTGCAAAGATACTTTGTTTTCCAGGATACCAATCCAAACCCCAGGTAAACACAAGATTCCACTTTTGGATTTCCAAAAAAACTCCACATGATTTGCAGTTCTGCAATCAGAATAATGTTTGGCAACCACCTGCTTAACAACTGGAGATAAAAGATCACTGACAGTTGTCAGGCCAGTGATGTCTGAAACATAACATACCCAATTGGGTGTATATCATAAGGGGATTTATGCATTTGTCATTTTCTCACAAGCAGCATGGCACTTAATGTAAGGCATTCTAGGCTATTTCCAGTCGAATTCAAGGGTTCATTAGCAGATTCTTCATTCAAGAATCCTATGCAAATGGTAGAAATGAGTACATTGGAGATACCTAGGGAGCATGGCATAACTATGTTAGCTCTGGTTTGTAGAGATTCATAAAGGACTACTGTGATGCCCCAAAATCCGGGGGTCCTTTATCAACTCGTTGATCATCCATCAACCCGCAAAATACCCTTTACATACCATACAACCTAATACCACGTCGTTATATCCTATTCACCGGAATCATAACAAAACAATATTTGGACAGAACCTCCTTTGAGGGGGAGCACTATCCAATACATAACTTGTGCATATATTAATCATTCGACCATTCCAAGGTCCAAATCCCAAGTCTAGGGCTTAAAATTTAACTATTTATAGCATCCAAAGAAAATAGCTCAAGATATGAACGCTTGGAAGTGTTGTAGTTCGAAAACCAATTTTTGGGAAGAGGTACCAGTACCTCTGATAAATAGTGCCGGTACCTAAGCCCTCTGGCTTCCAGGTATCAGTACCTGTAAGACTTGGTACAGGGGCCCACTATCCTAAGAGTACCGGTACTTGTGAGCTTAGGTGCCGGTACCTGAGCCCACTAGAAGCTAGGTACCTATGACATATCGGTACTTAGGGCCCAGATTTTCTCAAATTTCCCAAATTTCAACTTTTAACACTACACACTCATGCAACATCCATTACAACTATCCTATCAGTAACTTGTGAAGGTAGTATAGAATCTAATCAGCAGTGAACAAGGTTATTTTCATTTAATGAGAACACATTATTAGTGCGAGTATAGGGATCGTAGCTACAGTTGATTACCAAAGCACGACAACCAAGTAGAGAGTCATCAGTGGAAAAGCAATAAGAAGAAGGCCTATGTTTCTTCGAAAACAAAAGAACTTCTACCAATAATAAATATAGGACTACTTACACATAGGATGCTGGGACTGGAATTTCTTAATTTGGTTGTGTAATGACATTAGCATCTCACATATACTGTAAAAAATATTTGACTGCCTCCCAATGCCTCAGCTATCTAGTGCATTAACAAATCTCCAAATACTATAATCCTTCCTTCAATTGTCCATCTTCTTGGGGTCTATTGCGTGAATACGTTTTGTCATTCAGTGCTATCAGAGACTTATATTTTTTTCTAAAGCCTCAACAAGCATACGTTTTCTCACCGTCTGAACCACTGTTTTGTTCACCTCCTTCTTCCTTTGCTATTGCCATCATCTAGGATTAAAACAATCCCTTGTTATTTGCAATTATTATATTTCTTGCACATGGCCAAAATATCTTAGACAAGTTTCATCTAGCCGGTAGTTGGCACCTCCTATATTTTTCCCTCGTTCTGGACTCTTGTTACATTAATTTGTGAAATAGTTTCTTTTCTTAATTGGCTAACATTTGGTAGAATAGTAGAATAAGATACAATTATGTCCGTTTGAAACAATTGCACATCACACATGGCTTAGGGGAGAAGGGTCCACAGCCTAAATTGTATGTTTCATTGTTTGAAAGCTCTTTTGGAATCGATAAATCTTTAGCCTACCTACTGCCCTTGCTCCACTTTCCTATTATTTCTCTTGACTTTTATTTTCATACCTTATATACATAGTCCCTACTATCCAAAAATATGCCAATAAACCCATTAATGTATATTATTATTTTGCAACCCAATTTCCAACTAGAAAAATGTTAATTTAATCCCACATTTTTATTTAATGCAAATTTATCTTAATGAGTTTTACTTATACAATTTATCTATTGACAAAATGGTTGAGTTTTAATCACTTCCACAGTTCCACCCCTTTTCGGGTAAATATCCTAGGTCCCCTGTTTGCACCGAATAAAAAAATCAAGGTAACCAATTACTAAACCTTCACTAGAGCAACTGGCTAGAGGTAACTAATCTCTCTTTGAGCTCCCTACAATTGGCCTACTTTCATTTCCTCCGCCAATGATGGGCCACAGGGTTACCAATTCTGGACTGGGCCAAAATCAATGTATTGTCTATGTTTAAGGGACTCATAATTAATGCAGATGTACCCTGAATACCGCCCACTGACCACCACTTTTGCTAGGTTTGGTATTATTTACACAAAATGGCAGCCCTCAATATTTATAATTTTTATGAGCTTAAAAAGTAAACAGGTGGATATAGTTTCATAGTGTTAAACAATCATCTACTTTAAAAACTTAAGCTATTGCATTGGGTGTAGGTGTATTGAAATCTAAGCTAGATTTTGGGCATAGAACGTGGAGATCTTCACTAATCAGGGTGGAAGCAAGATTTGAGTACAAGACCTCTTACTCTAATACCATATTGAGAAACCATCTACTATAAAAGCTTAAACTGTTAGAAAATGTGTAACTTAAGTATTTATATTTCAACATACTACTCACGTCAAGTTAGATATTGAACCCGGTATGTAAAATTTTTTTTAATTATCAAGGGGTCGGTGAAATTTGAATATAGAACTTTCTGTTTTGATATCATGTTAAACAACCATCTACTTTTAAAACTTAAGTTATTAGAGAGGGTGGAACTTACATATTTATACTTCAACAGATAGCAATCCACCCAATATAGTTGTTAGGGACAATTTAGAAGGCAAAGTTTCTCTTCCGGTAGCATTTTTTTTTTGTTTGATTTATAATTTGGAGAAAATTCTGACCAAATAACAATTTAGAAAAAAGAGGGATGCTCAGTATTAATTGGGTTAGTAAAAAGGTGGAGGAGGCTGTTCATCAGTTAACGTTGCACCACCCTGTAGTTATGGAGTTGCAGTCACTCTTGTTTTCCTTGTGTGGGTGAAATGGGAGATGCCTTGATATGCCATGAATTTTCATTGGTAGTGGAAGGGTGGTGGTATGAAAAAAAGTTGGAGAGAGATGTTGATGGCAATTCCTTTACGTTTTTGGTGGATTGTCTAATCAGATTGGAATAGGCGAGTTTTGAAGGCTTAATGTGGCTGATCTTTGAGTTCAAGCCACTTTTTGTTAGAGAAACTTAAATTTTATTTTGCTTTCTACATTCCACATGTGGATCTGAAGATCCTAAACATATGTTATTCATAAAAATAAGGTAGCGTCAAGTGGGACAAAGACAAGAATTGGTGTCCTAAAAGGTTTGGCAAGTGTGTGTATGTGACAAAGACAAACGACTGCACCAGTATGGATAATGATTTGATTATGTTAAAAGGCCACATAGCAAAAACAAATACTCATCATAGAAAAGACATGAGGGCCATGTTATTCAACAGTGTAAGTGCTGACTTATAACTTATTTTATGCTGGTTACACGAGAGAGAGAGAGAGAGAGAGAGAGAGAGAGAGAGAAGCAGTAGTAATTGTCCTAATATTCCCAAAAATCAAAGAAAGTTGAGCCAATATATCTTTTTCCAAAAGCACTCACAGCTACTTCAGATTAGGCCATCAGAATCTTGTAACATGGAAATCCTAACCTACATGATCGATGCTATAAAAAATACATTATTCCAATCATAACACCAGTACCAGCAGGTGGTGTGGGCTTCATGTGGACATACATGATGTCTCCCAAGAAAATTAAGCACAATGCAGAAAATGTGCCTGTAACATGAGGCCTCTAGAAAGGAGTCAAGGACTTCAATTGCATGATTAAGTAGTTTACAAAGCAATAATTATATTGGGTATGCTTCTATCTGTAGTGTCGCATTTCTAAGAGATCTAACCAATATCCTGGTTTCACACTAATCGCAGAAAGCAAGAAGAAAATTCCAAGTCCACAAACAGTTCACATAGTCAAAACTGCAAGAAAAATGCAACTCCTTATATACGCAAAAAAAAAAAAAAAATGGTGTTATGTTTGACCAGACAAGGTTTGACAGCTAAAACTGTTCATATGTAGCATTTACGGTAGATTCTAATGGCATCATTCCTTTCCTGAGTTCTTGGAAAGCACACGCGTCATATATCAAACATAAAACAGGGATGCAGATATTATTAATATACTAAACTAATTGATTGGCAGTCATGGTCGGAAAAATATGAATGCAGAGGGAGTGTATCTGGAAATGAAGAAGTGAACAAAAGAGGTATTCCTTACATGGATAACCAGAACGGGACAGCTGACGTTCCTTATTTTGTCTATATTCTGCAATGTGGAACAGAGCTTCCTCAATGCATAACCGATACCTTAGAAAGTGAAAAAAAGAGACCAGACAAACAAACTAGCGAAACTTACTTTGAAAATGTCAAACCAGAGTGTCACCTTGACAGGATACAGGACTCGTATTCCTGAAAGGATAGCACTATGAAGAACGACAGCTCTTAACCTCTGAAAACGAGAAGCTAAGTGTAGCGTGGGTCCACTTCCAACCGATTGGCCATACAAAATCACATCCTCCTGCTTGATTCCATATTCACTCTTCAAACAATTGTAGACAGCTTCTATGTCATAATATGTGTTGAACTCAGATGGCTATCACAATTTAAGCAATAATCAATTCTCTGGATTCGAATAAGCCGAACAAATATAGGATGAAAAATGAGCTGGTTATATAACTTGTGATAGTGAAGAGTATTCTTTTCCTTTTTTTTCGAAATTCCTTCCCTTTTTTTGTTTACAAAATGTTGAAGTTCACTTAAAGTTTTTTCACCTTTTCATTCAGTTGTTCTTAGTTTTAGAGAATACATTTTCAAGGTAAAAACGAAATTACATATTCAAATTCGTTTCATTTATTCCCTACCTTACCAGTGGATGCTCCATATCCCGAATAATCATAGCTGCAATGTAGCAAAAAGCACTATATAAGTAATAAAGAGGAGGTTGTTACTTCATAGCCATACTATTTGTGGCATATATGAATGTTATATCAGTGTATTATTAACAAACCATCGTGACCACCACATTCAATTTCACATGGCTATTGGATGAGTTTCGCAACTAGAAACTGAAACACGCCAGTGTTAGCAAATTTACAAACATCATCAGAAATCTAATTGTTTGGATGAACAATAAACCTACCGCACTAGCATTCACAAGACAATTATTTCCCAATAATCATAACATCACAAGATATTAGAGGGGGAAAAAGAAGAAGTTCATATTAGGGAAAGAACAGAACATGATAAATACAAAAAAAAGGTCCAGAAAATTAACGAATTCATAAATTATAAAATGCTTGCCGAACCAAATAGACCATTAGACCATCCAAACGAAAAATTAAAACCAAACCTAAAAGCACTCATCTCAATAGGATAAAATACAAAAGAAATTCATTAGAACCCAAAAAACGAATAGGACCAACAAGCAGGAAAACACCTCACACCATAATAATCACTAAAAACACCTTAACCACAAAGTAATCAAAACAAACAAAGCGCATATTCCAAATCAAACATACAACCACAGATGTATTTATTACAAGTAAAATATGCCCAAATAAGCTCTGCAGAGCCAAAATTTTCAAGAAACCCATTTCAATATTGCCAGAAAAGAACACAACCCATTATTCTGAACCAACCAGAAAAGATAGTTACACATACATAAACAAATAGAAAGATAAACATTCCAACAATCAACGAAAATTGATATACCTCATGATATTGACACGGAGGTGAGCTCTGAGCTCAATGAAGAGCTCCGTCATTTGACCCAAATCAGCAGCGTTGCCATGAGAGTACAAAAGCGTAAACCTTGCAAAAGGGTGCCTCCAAAACGTGGCCACAATCTTGTTACCACCCTTTGTTTCTAACAAATGAACATCAACGTTTTTATCAGCCGTTAAGCCACTGAAAATGAGCCTCCCATCTTCTTCATCTCTATACACATCATATGTTGGTGGGTCTGGTGGGAAAAAAGCAAATTTCGCAGCAACACTTGACGTCACATTGCCCATCAAAACACAACCCAGAAACAATTGTCACCAATGGATACAAACAATGAGGTTTTAGGCCATGAAAGCCTGAGATTTTCCCGGGGTTTTTCTGGATATGATTCCTTTGTTGTCTGAGAGAAAATTTGATGGAAAATATGGGTATTTTTTGTTTCCTTTCTTTGGTTTAATTGATTAAAGTTGGTTTTGGCTTTGGTTTTGGTTGGAGTGGGCTGTTGATAACGACAATGATTTAATGAGAGACAAATGGCGTGGGGATGAATGATAACATATCCGATCTAAGCGGGTGAGCTCCTATTTGTTGAAAGGAAGCTCCAGAAGGATTAAAGAACTATGGATGATGACAATGGGCGATGGTGTCTGTACATGGCTTCCTGATTTTGATATGTGGACGCCTATTATTTAATTATAAGTGGTGAAATGTCCAGTTTGGTCTTAGTTAGCAAAAGTTCTATCAAAGCGAGCCTGGTGGTTGGAATTTTTTAATGATAAAAGTGTATCTATATAATAAAACACATAATAACTTGAATTTTTATCTCCTACATATTTTTTTTACTAAAAATATCACATCACTTATTTCTATCACATGTTTAATCATTTATATATTTTTCTCTTAAAAATATCACATCACTCATTTATATCATATATTTAATTATTTAATATTTGATTAATTTGTAGTTAATCATTTAATATTTGATTAATTTGTATATACATGTTGAAAAAATTTAATATAGTGGAATTAATTTTTTGGGCACTTGAATTTTATATTTTTTCTTGCCTTCAGACATGGATTATGACTAGTATGTATATAATATAAATAAGATTATGCTGAGGGCTACCATGCCAATTTTAGATATGACCCATTAATAGGTTTAGATTAAATTTGGCTAAACATGATTTATATATATAATTTATGCACGATACGAATTTGATACGATATATATATATGTGAGTATAAATGAGTTGAGTATTAGTTGAACAAATTTTAACACTACACAACTTAAACACGACACAACCTTAGTTATGGTATCTAAAGAAACTTTTTATTATCATATCATAAATGATTTGTACCTATGCATTTAGATTGATTTAGTTACGGTCATTGATCATGAAAAGAATGAAGTAAAACAAAATAATAAACTAATAAATATTTATATGTATCAAATTTGTCATTGATAAAAAAAATAAGATACAGTATTAAAAAATAGTTACGACAATAGAAAATTCTAATAAAAAAAAAAGAATTGACCATCGAAATTTTATATTTGAAATATTTATGTGCAATCATGGAAAAAGGAACTTTTTTTAAAGCAAGGGAGTTATTTTTTCGTATCAAATAAATTGTATTTTATATGCATTTCCAAAGATGAAATATCTTCCTTTCAGCCTAATCAAATTAGTTTATGTAGTGTATGATTTCAATTAATTGGTAAAATAGATAAATATGACCTGAGTTTGTCTAGTAACTCTTTTTTGGTCTCCATAACTAGATTATTCTATTCAACTAAAGCACTTTATTTATTTTTCATGAATGACTTTAATACCTAGCAAAATCTCAATTAAAAGTAAGAATTAAATGATTGAACTATACAAAAATCCTTGCTCATTAGGGCTTGGCATTTTTATAGGACCTTTAGACTTAAATAATATATCATAAGGTATAAAAGAATATAAAATTTACTTATAATTGATAAATAAAAGACGGCTCGACTAAATCTACATTTAAGTGTGAAGCTCTTAGTATTCCAATTATGTAAATTAACACCAGGTGAATCAATTACTTTATTAAAAGCAATGGAGAAAAATTGTATTCATTGGTTTTTTTTAGTGATTAAAGTTTATGAATTAAAGTTAGTGCATAAAGAACCCAATTATTTTAACAGTTATAAAAGGGTACTTTTGACTTTTCATGTCCCACATAATATTCTTGGGGGCGCCCACGTATCTGACACTAGGGGAGGTTTGACTATTCTTAAAAGCCATAAAAGTGGGTGGATAAACAATGATTATTCTGAAAGAAACGGGATGCCAAATGTAATTAAATAATGCTTAAAAAGATCCTGGCCCTCCAGGGGGAGAATAATAGACGGTTAATAGTCGGTCAAACTGTCAAAGGCAGCTTTGGATCTAGAGAGAGAGAGAGACGGACAGACAGACATTCCTTATTTGCTTTGGTTTGCTCATGGTTTACAAAAAAGGTCGACTCTTGGTTTACTCACTTTGGAGATTTGAGTGCTGGCTTTCTTTTTCTTTTTCTTTTTCTTTTTCTTTCTTCCTTTTTCTTTTCTGGCTCTAATGTCCAATTACAGTTTTTATTTATTTTTTCTATTTTCGATTTTTATTTTAACAATAAATATATATATAATAAAATTCAATACAATTCAAATTTTAAAAAATAAATAAAATAATTTTTATTTTTTGTGGTTGAAAACTCTTTAAATTTTATTTTAAAATTAATTTCACGGTTAATAAGCCACTAAGGATTTGTTTAGAATAATTTTTTAAAAAGTGCTTATAGAATTTATAATTTCTCATAATTTTTTTTTTAAAAAAAATAAAGTAATATTTGGAACTGCCCCACCACCACCATTACCACCAACTACGCCCACTGCCCCACCACAGCCACCCCACCATCACCATCGTTGCCACATCACCACCACTGCCCCCCACGACCATTACCACTATCGCCACACCAACACCACCACCCCCACTGCCCCATCACCACCGCCACCTTTACTACCATCGCAATCCACCGCCGATTGTTATCACCATCGTCCACTGGCACCAACCACCACCATTATCATTTTATTCTTATATTTATTACCACAACCACTATCATCTCACTACCATTGTTAGCACCCATCACCACCCACCGTCACAACCCACCACAATCCATCATCACCAGCCACTGTCACCCACCCTCACCACACCTACCACCACTACTATCGCCAGCCACTGTTACCCACCCCCACCACACCTATCACCACCTCCATTCGCCACCACCCCTTACACTATCTCTCAGAAAGCACCCATAGCCGCCTACCACCACCTATTGTCACCACTTCCACCATCGTCGTCGCCTCATCGTCACCACTGTCAACCACTATCACCATTGCCCATGACCACCCACACCCATCACCACTACCCGCTGTCACTCATGGGCGTCACTGTCACTATCGTTACCCAAAACCCACCATCACCATCATCGTTGCCACTCACGTCTACCACCACCACCACGGTCATCGCCATTCATCACAATCATCATTGTCTCCCACCACCACCATTGCCGCCCCACCATTACTACCACCGCTCACCCCCACTATAACCAGTACTTAAATTTCTTTTTCTCTCCTCTATGTTTGAGATTTGATTTTGAGTGTAAATTCAAATACGTATATTGTTGACAATTTTTTTTATTATTTCATGCCTTCAGGCACGGGACAATAACTAGTTCAACAATATAACGTGATCTTATATCATCACCGTCACATAATATTCTCGGATTTCTCATCGAACAAATATAGAAAAAGAATTTTATTGAAAATGCTCCTAACCCAACCCCTTCCTTGGTAGAGCCATGTATTGTAAGTGATCCGAACTTGCCCAAAGCTAGCCCCCTCCCCCATAGAGGCAAATGAAGTTGGTGAGTCGTATGATGAGCAATTATCTCATGCGGTTCGGAATATTATCTAATTAAAATTATTAACTGAATAAAATGAATTCCACTTTTTAACATGGGATAATTATTTCAAAATATGAATGTGTAATTATTATATTTTGTACGAGGTCAATAACTTATTTATTATTTATTTATTAAATGATGATATTATGTAATGATAATGACATAAGATGAAAATATTTTCTTCCATTTTGGGAGGAGAAGGAAGGGGATAGGGGAAGTGTGAGAGAAAATTTGGCCCAGAGGCTCGGGTCAAATCAAACAAAACCTTGGGCTAATTTTTCATGGCCTATGTGTGGCCCTGGTTCTTTAGATTTTTCTATTTTAAAGCAAATTTATTTGAATATATTACATTGATATCCATTCAAATTTAGTGAAAATGTACTCCATTGTTCTATGATTTTGTAAAAAAATCCATTTAATTAATTATCAACTTGCACAATAGAAAAAAAATACTCAAATAACTAAATTTTGATTTTTTTTTTTGGTAAAAATTGGAATCAATTGTAATATGAGAATCTCTTATGCTAATAAGTATAGGTGCGTACTTATTGGGTTATTAAGGACACATAATACGCACTATTGGTAAGCAAATTCATATGACTCATTTCTTTTTCTTTTTCTTTTTTGACCTTAAAATATTCTATTTCGTTTTACTCTTTCTTTTTCCTCTCCATTTAATTTTTTTCTCATCTCTCTTCCTTTAATTTCTCTTGCGTCAATCTCTCTTCTACCATCTATTAAATTTATTTCTCTCATCTTTCTTTCATTTCACTCATTCTCTCTCCTATATCTCTTTCGTCCCTCTCTTTCTCTGTTATCTCTCTACCTTCAATTTTTTTATCCTTTTTCTTCTTCAATCTCTATTCTATTTTTATTTAAATTTCTCTCTGTCCCCTCTTTTCCATCCCACTCATTCTCTCTCCTCTCCCTTCTCTCTTCTCTCTTCTATCTCACTCCTTCAATCTAAACCTTGTATTACTTTTTTTAATGTTTCTTATTATGCTAGTTCATATTCAAATCAATGTGGCTCATCATGTGTAGCAAGGAGTATCATCGGTCTTGTCCGTGGATATGTCACAAGCTTCATTGTTGAGATTGCAATCTTTCAAAAGGTTTGTGTATTCTTATTACTGTATATTGTGGAAAATTTCTCTTATTTTTGGTATGTGTTCTTCCTATGGGACAGTCGTTTGATTGACTTCTTGTGGGATTTTGTGTAATTGTCACTGTCCCAGGTTAATGACAATGTCGCTTGTCACTGTCTTAGAACAGTGACTATAACTATCATAGGGACAATAATAATTGGGGTATTTTTAATACC